TGTTGTTGTTGTTTTTGTCAAGATGTAACACTTCTGGCACACTTCCCTGGTACAGTCTTGCAGCTGTGACCTGCACTTCCACACTTCGCGTGTGGCTCAAGACGCTTGGGCTAAAGAGGACTTCGCTGAGTGCTTCGCTGACTTCAGGGTTGAGCTCTGTTTGTGTAGACTTCTGAGTTCTTCTACTTTTTCAGTTGTTGTTGGTGTGTTGTTGTATTTGTTGTTTTTGTTATTTGTTGTTGTTGCTGGTGTTGTTGTTGCTGTTGCTGCTGCTTTTTGCTGCTCCTGTCGCTGCTGCGGCTGCTGCGGTTAGTGGGGTGGGAGGCGCTGGTTGCAATCGTCTTTGGATGTGCGATCAAGCTGTTGTTGGCGGCTGCTGCTTGTCCATGTATACTACAGTGCCCAGTAGCCCACCTAACATTTCCAAGATACCAACGCGGATGTTTGGGCCATTGGTGTTTGCGCCTACGTGCTGCTTTGCCACGACCTCAGCTGGAGAAAATATTTCGGAGTTTCCGGCGCTCCAGTGAATAGTGAATTTGGCTGATTTGTTCAAGGCTGGGTTACAGTAGTCTGAAGCATTCAGCGTGCCACAGATCATCTGTACCGGCCTTCGCCTTAACTTATATACAATCAGCTCTATCATAGGTTTACCTTTCAAAGGCTGCCCAGGCCAGGTCACATGCCGGAATATATCTTGGCACCGTGGCTTCGGGAAGCGGCCAGCATGCTCTTCAACAAGTAGCGGTCCTTCTTCGCCACTGCACCTGCCTTGAGCCGTGAACCGGGGTGGGCGAACCAGGAAGTCGAAACGTGCCAACCCACCAATACCAACTTTGCGTTCTTGTCCAGGTGGCCAATTGCCTTTCCCCGGCAGCACAGCGGAAGAGGCAGTTCGGATTGTTAGGGCTTGCGAGCTGCCAGCTCATAATGAAAGGGACAAGGGAGCTCCCCATGTCGCGCAGGTGGGAAAGCAAATTGCTCACTGGACCCCCACAAAGCGCCTCGGAGGAGTTGTCCCAGCCGGTGGAGTGGGAAGCACTCAGAAAAGGTGATGTAGAATTTTTTCTGCAGATGGCATTGAACAGCCTTTCATGGTTTCCGCATGTTTCCGCCCTCGGCTGCAAAGATGCATTTGCGGCTACCGTAGCTTGTCAGAAAGTTTCTGAAGCTGAGAGCTAGTACAGTCCTGTGCCGTGAGCCATTTGTTGAGGCATCTTGCGCCAGAGACGTCGACAGGAACTTCAACCATGGGGACTGTCACCACAAGCATGGAGAGCACGTCCTCACTGTTCGCCAACTGGGCAGATGTTCCAGACCCGTGTCTGAAGACTCGGCACTGGGGTGGTGAGACTCGAAACTCAGAGTTCCTAGTCCTAGCCCGAGCCTGTCGAACAGGGACGTGGCGAGAGCACGAATCGGGCCCTGTGAAGTGTCTCGCGAAGCGCACCGATTTCCGAAAGCTTTTGGGGATTGTCTGAGAGTCTAAGCGTAAACGACCATAAACGTGATTGCTGCTCTCCACTCCGCTCAGGAAGAAGCCCGAAACTTCGTCCGGCGCTCGGAGTCCGCTCGTTCAGAATAGGCTACAGTAGCCGGGATCCCATCCAGCCGTGGACCGCTGTGGACCGCGGAGTGCACTCCTGTCACGGCAAGTCGGTCCTCACATGGAATGAACCACTGCTCGATAGGTCACGCAGCTTATGGACACGGACTGCAACACTCGCATCAGCGCAGCGGATGCGATGAAGTTCGATTGGCTCAAGACCGCCCACAAGGAAGGACGGAAGCTGATGCTTGTCGCAGACCAGACGCTGTTGAAACGCAGCTTGAACAGTCCATTCAGCTCGATACATGTCGGTTGTGCCTTACCACATGCCATTCTCGCATGCTTTTCTTGTACCGGAATGGTAGCCCTAGCGCGAAAGCTTGGTGGTCCCGGGTCCTGGCTGCTTCCGCATCCTAGCTTCCCAAATAAGCCGGAACACTAAGGATTACGCCACATACAGTGCAAGGCCCTGCCATGCCTGTTGTCGATCACATTTTTCCGGTTGGCTGTGGCTTTGGGGCTCAGACCGAGGGCGCAAGGGTTGAGGCCTTAGGGGCCGCCGGTGCCTATCAAGGTGCCTATGAAATCCTATGAACAGCCGGCTAAGCTTGTCGTGGCTGTTTGCATTGCTGTGGCAGCAACTAGAGTAACTAGAGGCTTCATCAAGCCCACGTCCTACGTCCCTCAGCCAAAGCAGACGTTCCTTGTACTTGTAACAGCTTTCTTCACGGATAACCCTCACTGGGAGGCATTCTGTCCTATGGGACGAAAACACTGCTGCAGAAGCGACCTGGCTCTGCATATGCTGTGTCAGCAGAGAGTTGTAACCACGAGTCTTCAGTGCAAGCAAAGTGTCTTCCGACCCTATCTCGTTAGTCGTTTCCGCTACCGCTATTGAATCAGTCGATTGTGGGCATATGGAAGGAGGACCTCTAGGATTCACAACATGGCCACAGTTCAAGCTCAAGTCAGAATCCTGGCATCGAACTCTCGTCCTTCGTGAGTGAAGATTTCACGTGAAGACTTGGACCTGGAGTCCTCGATTGTTTGCAGTGATCATGCTTGCCGGCGCAGCTCTGGATCAACGTACACTAAACTGTGGTACCTCGAATAGCACCACACTACGAACCTGAAATATCGTCAGGTCGCCAGTCTTTTGCGAGAGTCTGAAGCATACAGACGAAACACTTACTCGTCATTGCGTTTGAGATGCAGGAAGTGCATGCAAGTCATTGCCTGCCACTTGCCAGAAGAGGAGATCAAGGACACGGCTCTCTCAGGCTATTCGTTTTGTACTCCATGCGGAGGTAGATGAGGCTCCGGTCTGGAGTTTGGCTCTCGGTGTGGGGGTATTTCTTCCAGGAGCCACGCAGTCACTGATACGCATGAAACCTATTCTTATGCCAGGCGTGAATTTCCTCTGTGTGTTTGCCATGCAGAACTGTCGACGGGAGTTGGAAGAGATCTTGCAAAGCTCATCCCAAAGACGCTGGACGGGAGAATTTGATTCAACGTTAGCTTGAAATATTGCAGGAGCTAGCAAAAACGTTCCACACCCTGGACACAAACGGAGACGGTGTCCCTTTGCTTGCATGCCAGAGAGGCGACAGTCGGCATCTTCGGCGCAGCCTTTCGTGTCGCATGTAGAGCAGAATCTGGCTTTGCCTCGCAACGTCGCACCGGACAGCCACTGACAGCCTCAGCCTTTCATCCGTTCCGCTCCAGTCTTGTGAGGAAGTCTCCCTGAGCGAGCTCAAGCACGCTATATCCTTGGTGGGGAAGCGCAAGGGTGCGAAAGGCAAGCGCAAGAACTCGGTCCCCTGGCTTTTGAAACTTGCTTGGTCATTTGTCCTGCGGTCGAGGATTGTAGCTTGTATGCTGTTTTCCTGGCCACGTCTGTGAGAGGCTTGCAGGACGAGTAAGGTTTCTTGAGAGAGACAAGGCACCAGCCACCAAGCCTTGTGCCAACGATGTTCACATCGCAGGGTCGCCAAGAGCACCACGGCACCACGCACCCGTTAATCGGGTGCAATCAAGTCTTTGAGGTCTCTGGTCCTACCGATGGGGACATGCTGAAGCTTGTGGCGGTGGACCGACTGTTTTCGTGAAGTTCCGCGTGGACTGTAGACTGTAGACGGACATCTTGGCACCGTAATCTCAGCATCGGTTGCGGTTAAAGCACGAAGGGGTGGTACGGACTGTAGTGTGTAAAAACCCCAGTGCAGGGTTGACCACGGTTTTGCCGCAAGTTCAGCTCGGGAAAGACTGTGATGTGAAGATTCCCCTGTTGTCAGGCGATGGATAGCAACGGTGACAATCGTTCCTTGGCTTCGGATAATTTCGGTTCCACAACTAACTACAGGCCCATGCGATGCTTTGTTTTCCGTGCTAGTCCATCAGCGCCATCCAATGCATAGACTTCTCCGCAAACCTTCTGAAGCCGAAACCTTTCCGCTTTGGCACAACGCCGGATAAGGAATCAGCTACACAGAATTTCTGGCTGCGTGCCTGGAGGTGCTGCGGAAACCCGATCCCGGTGCACTCTCTTCACCTTAATCTTGCGACGAGCCTGTGATGTTGAGTTGTTCGGTGCCATGGGTGTGCGTGGCTCTTCATGGCTCTTGTACAGTTTGTCCCAAGTGAGCTTGGATCCAGACAACAATCCCCGCTGTCCAGTGCCACGTGTGCCCTGGCCCTAAAGCTTGAAATGTTTCAAGCACCGTTCAAGCACTGGTAGGGAAGCCATTTACCCCTGCGCATGTTAAAGCCTTCGATCGTTAGCCCCAGTGCCTTGGAGGAGAAACACTACCACCAAGAGGCTGCTTGCTGGCATGCCTTTCGGTGCCTCGGACGGCACTGGTCTCTGGCTCTGCCGCAGCATGTCAGCGCTTGCAAGAGTGAGCATCAAGCAAACTGCAAAGCTCGAGCAGTGCAAGTGTACCTGTGTAGGGGTGTACCAGTGAGGCAGCTCCTAGCAACTGACAGGCTTGATGTCCTGAAATCAACAAGGCACATGGTAAAGTAGTCTTTTGAGGATAGGCAGGGGATTTGGCAAGCTGCGTGGTCTAGATGTTGGAGTTGGGTTAGGCTAGCCTGTCGGCGAGATCGTTCGAAGTCATCTCCGAGTGCTGCTTTGGGTCCAGGACGGTCCATGCAATCGAAAGGGGAGACTTTGTCTTCATGCATTGCGAGGAGAAGCCACAGCACTTGAGGCGAACAGCTGAGTTTTCACATTCATCGTCCTAGGTTCTTCGATCGGGACAACGATGGCAAGATCACGCGGCAGGACCGGCCAAGAATTCAAACGCTTAGGACATTCCAGAAAACCCACTGTGTTGGAATCTGCTCCGCCTTCGCTGTCAAGGAGCTCCTAGAAGCCCTGAAGGACGAGGAGTTCGGGGACATGCCGGAGTCTCAAAAATAAGACTCGCTGATGCGATGCTATGCTTTGATGGTCAAGGTACCGCTGTCAACTGGTGTCGAGGTTGTGTCGCATGGTCCTTGTACGGGCTTGCTGAGCCCAACAAGCCATCAAAAAGAGACTCTGCAACTTGAGGCCCAAAGCGATAAAGAGCCGAAGGATGCTTTCGATACCGAGTATGGATGTTTTATGCCGCAAGTTCATGCTAGTTCAAGCTCTGGTGTCCGCCCATGCAGTGTTGCACCCCCGCGCAGTTTGTCGCATCTTTTATGATGTCACGCTACTGGACCGGGGTCTTGTCAGTTGCGTGATCATGCTCCAGGCTGCCGCAGAAGGTCATCGCTGACCTGGTGAAGGCCGGCGACAGCAACGGGAACCACACCTTGGATTTCTACGAGTTCATGGCTGCTCGGAACACGTTGTTTGGGCGATTTTGCGCTGCAAAGGTTCCTGCAGGGGCCATGCCCTTATTTTGATGTTCTTTGGCAATGGCCACGTAGGACGTAGGTGTTAAAGGAAATGGAGGGCTTGTCACTTGCTGCCCTGTCTCAAGTAAACATCGACGGTGCAGCTTTGCTGTGTGCTGCGGATTAGTTGATAGGTCAGGACAGACCTCAACCCAAGCTCTCTGCGAGTGTGCGAGTCGAACCCAAGACATTGCGATGTCTGTGAGAAGCTGCTAAACATTTTGATTGCCCTCGTCTGAATGCCAAGCCGAGGCTTTGGTGCAGCCGGACCGGGAGTGGACGGCGCCACAGGTGGCCTCACAGGGCAAGGACGGCAAGGATGCAGGCAGACTGTGGGATTCTGCGGTCATGAGAATGCCGTACGCTGAAGTTCAGCCCTTTGGGGTTGGGGCCTATCTGCTATTATCCGCAGGCTTCTCTCGAGAGTTGCGGAACACTGGTTTGCATTGCTGCTAGACTCGGAACATAGCGGGGCTTGACAACGCTGCTCTGAACAAGCTCGTGGCTCCTGCAAATACATGGACCAACAGCTTCAGACAATTTCAACAGTACAGCTGCCCTCGTCCTGTGCAGATGCAAGGCCCCGGGCCACCTTCGCCGCTGAAGGCTGACCGCCGGAAGCGCAAGAACTCGAATGTGGGGCTGTCGGGCACCAAGATCAATGCAACATGCAGCATCATTTTGGCAGCTGGGTGCATGATTATAGTCATGTGCCCGCCACGACTGTCGAATTGTAGTGTGCTGCTGATGCAAGCACAGTCAAGCACATGGCAGTTCTTATTTGATAAGGCGACGGCTTCAAGTCAGAGTAGGCAAAAACCAATGTTGCAACGTCGCTGCCGTAAACGATATCGCTAGTGGCCGCGCTGGTTGTGGTCGCTCGTGCGGCCGTGGTGGAAGAGATCACGACGACTGTGATGAGGGTGCTGTCGAGTGCGGCTTGGGCGTCGCAACGGCAACGGAGGCGATATTGTAGTTAGACGCATCGCCAATTTGCAGAATCAGAAGCAGTTGGCTTGATCATGTCGATCGCCCCCGTCATTAACTGTTGGATCCGAGGTGCCCTTCATGCGGGCAGAGCCGTCAGCTCAAGGACTGAAGCTGGTTTTGTCATGCTTGAGGCATGCATACTGCATGATAGGCAAAGAGCAAGAACCCGTATCCATCAGCTCGGCCTGGAAAGCTGCACAGACAAACAATTACAAAAATGCATGGATGCAGGATCGTGACAAGAAGGGCTTGATGTGCGCGGGCTGCTGGATGGCACAGCAGTGATCGCTCTCATGCAGGCATCGGCCGTTGCTGTCAGTGGGAAGTGCGCGGGTGATGATTGACAGATCTCAAGGCTTCGTCGGGCTTGTTGGCATTCGGAGCATCCCCACACTCGGAAATCGCCAAGTCAGCTTCTTTCAAGTGCATTCGCCGCCACAGGAATGTCGACCCAGGACGCGTTTCTTGCCGTGTGAGAGTTCCTCACTGACCGCTTAGGTGGGGAGTTGAAGAATTAATGACTGGTTCTGCAGGGTTGTAAGAGGATGCTTCTCAAGCTGTCTTGATGCCTCGGGGGCATTCCGGCATCTCTGATGTTTTCAACCATTTTCAGCTCGTTCATATTCCTTTAATTTCTGCTGCCGGAATGCCCATCCTTCAGTGGAGCTTACTCCACTTCAGGTGGGCTTTTCTTCACCTCCCCTTCTGGCAGCTCGTAGCTGCAGTCTCACTGTTCGTCGTGAGCAGCTCTAAGAGCTGCACGCACGTCCAGGACACAGCGTGCCGAAAGCCACCGCTGTCCGACAAGCCAGTCAAGCTTGCCAGACTCGCGCCCCAAGTCTGCTATGTCTAAGATCGTGGTGTGGAGCCTTCGGAGTGGTGTGAGGCACGTGTTGGGAATTGAATCGTTTTGAATAGATGGCTGGTGCCAAAGCTTTCCATGCCACCAATGACACATGTCGAGAGATGACTGTGCCGGCAAGGAAACCTTTAGGGCAGCCACGGATTTTGAATTCGGTTCTGCTCAGGCACCCAGAGAGCGTCAGTGAGCCTAGCTGGACCTAGCTGTTTCCGCCCAGCCTGCAGCAGCGCTCAGCTACTTTTGCGCGCCCCAACAATACGATTTGCATCAGCATCTCGGTGTCACGTCCTCCGTATCCATATCACTAATCGCAAGACAGACCGTCGTCGCAAGCCTCATCGGGACATGTCAACGTGAGACCAAAAACCCGCAAGAGATTGTACTACATCCTGCAGGCGAAGCAACTGCCGACTGGGTGCCTTCAGGGCCTAAGACTGCCGCGACATTGGCGCATAGACGCCAGCATACCGGTCTTTCAAGAAGGCAAGCTGTGCAAAAACCGGTGGCCAGTGGGCCGTTGTCCGACTTGGGATGTGTCTACGAGGTCAGGATTGGGGAGACTGCAGCTTCGGTGTCGATATGCACCTCATGGGAATGTTCCGTTGACTTGTGGAACGCCATACTCCAGCTTTTCAAGATGCAAACCAACAACAACCCAACATCCCCAAGGCGCACAACTCTCGTAAGCTCTAAACACACACACACACACATCCTCAATGCTGGACAGTTGTACACCAGAAGAAGACACAAGCCGTCACAAGCCCGAAGACCAAGGCCTTCGCTTCGCTGTTGCAGCGCCGGGCACGCGGCCTGGTGGTAGAGGACGTGCTGCGCCCGGCCTATGAGGGGGTGGTGGTTGTAGTAGGAGTAGGAGTAGTACGACATAGTACGACTAGCAGTGGTAGCAGTAGTAGTAGTAGTAGTAGTAGTGGTGGTAGTAGTGGTAGTAGTAGTAGTAGTACGCGCATAGCCTGGGGTTTGCCTCCAGCACTTGTCCGCACTTGTCCTCAGGACTCACCGCCCTAGCTTCTTAGGGTTTGCTTACCAACATCTCCTTGTACGGTTTTGGGTTTGGCTAGCAACATCTCCTTTTAGGGTCTAGGTTTTGGCTACCAACATCTCCTTTTAGGGTTTAGGGCTTGGCTATCGACATCTCCTTTTAGAGTTTAGGTCCTTTTAGGGTTTAGGGTTTGGCTATCGACATCTCCTTTTAGGGTTTAGGTCCCTTTAGGGTTTAGGGTTTGGCTACCGACATCTCCTTTTAGGGTTTTGGGTTTGCTTAAAAACATCTCCTCCAACATCTCCTTTTAGGGTTTAGG